CATTTCACAATTTTATAATGTGTGCTGTATTTTTGAATAAATTAATGCAGCTTTGATGAGCAGGAGAAGCTTATTTTAAATCACTTAAAAATCTGACCACAAACCTTTGACTGGTAGTGTTGGTCATCAAACGTAAATTATATGTTTAGAGCTTATTTATTGCTACACTGTACCCATCAACATTCTACAAAATATTTTCTTTTGAGTGCAACAGATAAACAAACGCATGCAGGTTTGAAAGAACTTGAGGGTTAATAAATATGAAATAAACAGATATTCTTGCATGAACTATACCTTTTCAAAGCTGATGTATTCTGATTGTTTATCAAATGCTTTTTTTTGTTTCTTAGGTGGTAAAAAAAAAATATATATATATATATATTGTTTCACACATTCATCAGAACAGTTGTAGTTACTAATGTGGATACATTTTTTAAATAGTATACACAGGGACAATGATGTTTTAAAAAGAAAACTGAAACATAAAAAATGTGATTATTTCAAAACAAATAAATACAAATAAAGTCAATGGGGTCCAAAAATTGAGTGGTTTTGGACATCATTGTCTTTAATTGTATTTATTTGGTAATTTTTTTTTCTTTGAACGGATCATTTAAAACAGTGAGTTTTTGACTTATGATCAAATCAGTTCACAAATGAATTTAGTGCGATTTGTGACACCAATTTCACATCTTTCAATTCAAATAAACGTTTTAGTCCATCACGTTTCATAAAGATATTAGTACAAGCTCTATCAAAAAAAAAAAAATATATATATATTCTGCTACTTACTGCTTGTTTAAAATGAGCTGAAACAACATTTTTGTGGGGACATCTTAATAGCTTTATGTTCAATCCACTTAAATTTGTTAAAACTAATAAATTAACTTAATTCCCTCATGTTGTCCCCACACAAATTGATTGTGTGGAACCCAGCATTTTTTACAGTGCATTTTCATTTTACAAATGAAAATGCAAAAAATGCAATAGCTTCTCAATAATTAAATTCAATAGGGTCCAAAATGGAGGTTTTGGGCCCTATTTACTTAAATTGTATTGAATTGAATTCATTCATCAATTGTTGGGTTCAATCTCCAGCTCCAGTAGTTCCTGCTGTACTGCACACAAAACATTTAACAAGGTTATTTTGACACACAGTTAAAAGAGTCAAATCTTCTCCACATCAGTCGACAGGTGTTTCGACTAAACTAGCTTCCCCGTGACCCTTTTCAGACCATTTAACCGTCATCACCGCCCTTAATCACCCAATCCACAAACCTGAGAGTTTTGTCCACCACCCAGTCAAGTTCCCCACAGCTTCAGCCTGATGAGTGTGGATTACCTTAATCCACGCGTTTGGCATCCTGATCCAGGAAAACAATACTATGTACCCACACTGGGACTCTTTTCAGATGGGGGTGGGTCTGTCCAGGATCATTAAGGAGATTTAGACATTGTAATGAAGCACAGATGTAATAAAGCTATTGAGGCGACTGGTCTTCAGTCACTGTTCCTTATCTGTTCTCACTTCATTCACACACTGGCATACATCCTCTTAATGAAACAGGATCTTCTCGGCTTCAGTATATCATATTCCACAAGAGGAAATGCACTGCTGCCTCTTTAACCGAACCACTGTTTGGTGATCTATAGTGAAATCAACTTAGGTTTATTGGTAAATACTGGAGAGTGAAAGCTCAACACTGCTTAAGACTAATGAAGGATACGCTTCTTCAGCTCAGTTATTACGCCCTCTTGTGTTGATCAACTGCCATAGCCATTCACACCTTAAATAGACTGGATTTAAAGTGTTAGTTCACTCCAACATATAAGTGATCTCATTATTTATTCCTCTTGTGTAGTTTTACACAACTTCTGTTAAGTCTTCCGTTGAATAAAAAAAGAAGATATTTCGAAGAACGTTGTTTGTTCTTCTACTTCCAAAGCAGTTAAAAAATGACTATGGAAGTCAATAGGTCCCAACCAGAAGCATTTTTCAACAGTGGAAACTCAAAATAGGTTTTGAACTGTCACTTTTGTGCGTACTATTCCTTTAAGAGAAAACCTTCCTTTTGACTTAAATGATCCAAATAACCACTTAATAACCTTATATGGGACATTCTAGCAGAAACATACATTATCTGTCCCTGATATAAAAACATAAATACAGTGAATAAAAAGTATTTCATCCCAAATATTTCTAAAATATACTGATGGTTGATGTCTGTGAGGAATATGTCATTCATTTGTTTCTCAGACTTTTGTTCTTTATTAAAAACTACAAATGTCCTTGTCCTCCGCCCAATTAAACCTACATCTTTAATAGCTTTGTTATGCTAAGAACAGTTATTTAGAAAGGAAAAAACACCCTTTAGAAATAGCAAGTTTAAGTTGTTATTCCCATTAATTCATTAAAACATGAAACTATACATAAATTCTACAAATAAATACTATTTTACAATTATCCCCATGTTTCTGTCAGTCCTGTCACATTTGCATTAAATTTAACATAAAATTTGTGCAATGTAACTCTAAGGTTATGACTTGAGGGAAGTGACATTTACTGGAGAAGCCGACTGACCAAGGATGTGTTCCATCCCTGAATTGTAAGATTTACGTTTTTGTGAAAATGTACATTTCTGGTAGAATGACCCATTTATTTTTGTCTAAGCTTGAACTTACTGGTCACTTTGTGTTGCATTGGACTGTTAGTTAGCTCATGCTTCCTCCATGTATATTATTAAGACACTGTCACTTTATCATTTTCAAGCTTTTTGCACTACAGTATATACTGTTTTTCAGCTGCACAACTCTGGTTTGCACTCCTTGCCACATAACCATAAGTTTATTCGTATTGTCTACAATTTTTTTTTTAACTTATATTTTATGTGTAATTGTATTTATGGTAATTTCTTTTTAAAATTCTACTTTCTACTTTTTCTATTTATTTATGTTAGGCACCTAGGGTCTGAGTAACGATTCTCTGTTATGTCCTGTACATGTAGTTGAATTAACAACAAAGCTGACTTTAACTTGTCTTGACAAACTATATATATATATATATATATATATATATATATATATATATATATATATATATATATATGCCCACCGTTCCTACATGCCTGTCAGGATGTGCCTCATTCTCCGCCTTGACTGCATCAGATAAAAAGCACGGTGACAAACATGAAGGTAGTAGATCTGGCGGAATGTTTGTGAGAAATACTACAGTAGGAACTTTTCCAATGATTATTTGATGTATTTGTTGCGGAGTTGCAATGATGCGTCACACACAATGTCATTACAAAGTTTAACTGCACTGTTTTTGCAAGGCAAATGTGACAAGGTACAAGTTAATATCCATTGCTGTATTGATATCCGTTATGTAAATGTACAAAATAAACCTGATTTAAAGTCCACAAACTGGGATTGAAGCGTCTTCTTTTAAAATTGTACTGACATGCATCTGTGGCTATAAAGACGGTGAAATCACTGCAATTCATTACAAACATGCACTGTTTTAAAAACATTTTAAACTAGTAAAACTCATTCTTGATCACATTTGATGATGATTACAGACAGCTGAACAGATCTTTTAATCCCAGTTGCTTTACGCACGTCCTGTCTTGTTTATGATTATACACGTTACAATAGAGTCATGTTAATATCCGGCTGTCAATCAAATTGGTGGGTGGGAAAACCGCACCACTATGTCACATTGCGGTGGGTCATAATATGGGAGGGATTCAGATCCTATTTTATCGTCAGGACAATATAATAAAAAAATAAAAAAAAGAGAGACTTAGGTTAATTTCACTCCAATATGACAGTGGACACACTACTTACACAAGGTTCTATCCAAACAGCTTACAAAAGATCATTTTCATCATGCCTTTTAATTACCCCTTTAATTAATTTGACCTTTAATTAACCTATTTTACTTCAAATGGTCAATCTGATACTGAATCTCAGTGAATAATTTTTTTACATTCAATTTTTTATCATATTTTGTATTTTGTCTATTTTTTACCTTATGGGGTCAGTTGGAAAATGCGTAAATACAAAATTAATTTTAAAAAAAATCATAAAAATTGAAGAAATTTCTGGTCGTTTACTCATCCTACATTTGTTCCAAACCAGTTTTTCTACCTAAATGTCTTTCTCCTGATGAACACACACACAACACACACACAAAAAACATACCAAAGAAAAAAAATCTACTGAGTTTCATACTTTTTTTCAATGGCTGCATTTTCCCAATATTCTCAAGGATAACTTGCTTTGTGTCCAGCAGAAAAAAAAAGAAATTCATTAATGCACTTGAATGAGAGTAGATAAAAATTGTTTAATTTTTATTTGGGGGTCTCTGTGTTAATCTCGATTACTCAGTCCTGTTTCTTTTCATTTTGTATGATTGGTGATTGTTATACTGTTCTCATGTGTTGATGGATGAGATGTGAAGGGTGTCTGTATGTTTATGTTCTGCAGAGCAGGGACCTGCTGAAAAATAGCGTTCATGCTAAAACAGGCCCGATTATCTTTTCCTGTTTAAAAATGACAAATGAAAAAATAAAAATAAAAACTTTAATCTAAAAAGCCATTTAGAATAAGCGACAGAAAACCAGCATACGACAACAAAAGAAAGAAGTTTCTGGAGAGAACTTGTGAAAGGTTTTTCTGTGTCCGTTTTCAATGTTATGATTCACCAAAGTGCTGTTTGGTTTGGTTTAAAGGTTACAACTCCCACAAAAAATTCTATTAAAAAAAATTATATACACTTTTACCCCCTTAATTTTACTGAAAAAGGCAGAGGACACTGTTGCGTTCAAGCAAATAAATAGAAAGTCTTGTACTTTCACCGAAACAGCTCCTGCATCGATAAAACACAGCAGATAGGAATATGTGCAGAACAGGAAAAGCAATATTTTCACTGACACCGAATTTCACCCCTCCCATAAAATATTATGGGTGACAACATTTTACTCAAGCAAGCCATTGTGTTAACATCAAACTTTAGCAATCCTTTATTGAGGAGAAGAGATCATATTCACTGTTTGCTACTGAAACATCACAACATCATACTGGGGACGTTCATTACATGGGCTCATCGGGTGGTTAGAGAGAATCCGAGGAGAAATAGAGGAAGGACGTGAGAGCAAGAAGAAGAAGAAAAAAAATTATTAAATCACACTCTCCAAAACACACAGGACAGTAGTTTCCCCCTCTGGTGAAACCCTCTCTTCTCAAGCCAGCAGACGTGGAATAAATAAAATACTTTGTCTCAGTTATTCAATAAGTGTTGATATAGACAACGCATTTGAGCACTCAGCGCATAAAATATATCTCTTACCATCTCGACTGGAAACGGACTCAATCTATTCAGCATATGGCTATGATTTATGTGTACCAGGAGAGGGGGGAAAAAAACTGCAAAAATATATATACATACATAAACAATCATCTTATAAAATTCAATTAAACACTCATTTAAAGCTACACACCAGAGCAGGTGAAGTCGATGAATAAACAAACAAAAAGTGGGGAGGAAAAGAACAAAACGAAGGCCTCCAAAGCATGTCACAGGGCAGAACCAAAACTCATGTGTGAAGTAAATGGAGTTAAGAGCGTGAATGTCTATGACGAAGCTAATCAAACGATAAATGAAAGGGTTACGCATGAGCATGTACAAATGGGTGAAGGTATACGTACGAATATCAGTGTGAATAAGGGGTACATTCATCCATATAGCCAACTGTCCTGTAAGTACACCCTTACAGCATGGTTCACCTTTTACAGGCACGATTCAAAAACAATCCTACATTAAGGATCACCAAAAAAAAATAAAGAATTAATCCACTCATAATGAATATTCAAGTACCTATCAGCCAGTCCGAGGAGAGAGCGTCCCCTTCCACTCTTTCGCTCCGCTGTTAAAGGAGAAAAATATATATATAGCTATATACACATACATATTTCTGCAGTTTGACTTTAGAAATACTCTAACTACCTTCTCATAGTTTCTCTTTCATATAGTCGTTTTGTTTTTTTGTAGTATTTCATTTTGTTTTTCGTCATCGAATGTGAGTGCAATCAAACGATACCAATTACACCATATAATCTGTAATCAAAAAAAATATAGAAATGCGTCAAAATGATGGAGGGGGAAACTAGTTGAGCGTTTTTGTTAGAGGAAAAACCACAAACCAGAAGGCAAGCTGATGGGAGAAACCCAACGTGTATGAATCGGAAAACAAAATGGAGGAGTTCAGTTTTTTTCTTGAACAAGGAAGTCAGTGTGACAAGTTCCTCCAAATAAAGTTCCCTCCATTTTGGGCCGCTCCTGCTGTCAAGATGAGTGTCCTAGAATATTGTTTAAACATTTAAGTCTTCGCATTTAACAGCAAGCACCAAAACGAATGACACCAGAAGAAATTCGCCCCAAAACAAAACAAATGAAAAATAAAAATCCAAGAAAAGAAATCCACAAGAGATACGTTACATTTCTGTGTCCAGCTGGTTGGGTAGAGACTGAAAGAGATGCGCGGGGTGGCAGAAACGGTGAACAAGAATTGAGATCATGCCTCCAAAAAGCTGCACATGCGTGGTGTGAAGGGGTTGAAATAGAGCAGAGTCTGAATGAGGGTCCCTGTCCCTCTCAGGGCTCACCTGCCCCGCCCTCCTCCAGCCAAGAACACGCCCACAAATTAGCATGTCCTTCAACTTCTGCTCAAGCAGTCGCGTCATTCACAATCGACGCCAACTTCAAGAGGGAGGGAGGGAGGGAGGGGGGTGAGGGGAGTAATAATAAATCTACCAAACAATTTCCGTTTAAAAAAAACAAAACAAAAAAAACATTTCTGTAGTTTTTTCATCTTAAAAACAAGCGTGTGTTTTCCCAGACCTGTCGTTTAACATTTCCTATGACGCTCTCTGAATCGAAACCAAACAAAGTGTGTGAGCAAGGGTTTTCTTGTGTGAATTGAGGACATTCTCATGTGGATTCAGAAGCTGCCGGCTGCTCGGGGGCTACCAGGGGTCGTCAAGGTCTCCTCCGCTCTGCCATAGGAAGAAAACAAGACAGGGAAAGAAATGAGCAAACAGATTTTTTTTTTTTTTTTTTTTTAAAGGTAGGGAGGTGAAAATAAACGAAACAATCGAGGGTGTGAGAGACAAGACAAGGAGAGAAAGAAAGATTTAATATTTTTTGATGGAATTGAAGCATGGAAGAACAAGATTATTACACTTGAACTACTTCTGATGGGAAAGGGAATACACTACCATTCAATCGTTTGAGGACAGTACGATAACACTTTAGACTAATGGTTCATTAGTTAACTAATTAATGTATTTACTAACATCAAGTATCAATACTCTTGTAAAGCGTTTATTAATCATTGTTGGTGATTAACTAATGTGTTATTTAAAATCCAAATGTGTGCTTGTTAACATTGGTTAATGCACTGTGAGTTAACATGAACTAACTTAAATAACCTTAACAAAGAAAAAAAGTAATAAATGTATTGCTAATTGTTTGTTCACGTTAGTAAATACACAAACTAATGGACCGTTATTTTAAAGTGTTATCAACTTTTTGTTTTATTAATGAATAAATTTTGATCTTGAATTTGAGCAAATCAGCATGTTATCATAATTATATTTGACCATGTTTCACTGACGAGTGGAGGAATAATGCTGAAAATTGAGCTTGGAATGCTAAAATAAATGCATTTGATTAAGCCTTGATGGGCATAAGATTCTTAACTTTCTTAAAAACATCTAACAGACATCAAACTTTTGAACAGTACTGTTGAAGCCTCCTATTATTCTACAGGGAATACAAAAACTAACCAATAACTTTAAAACTGCATAGAACCAGAATTGATGTGAAATTCAGACAACATCCTGCACCCTCTAAAAAAAACCCTAAATTAATGTGGTGTGGTCAGCGTGAGCAGACACAAAGATTGGCATCAATACAGAGAAACAGACATGGATTACATACAACTTTGTGTAACACCATCTAATTTGTCAGCGTGTTGAATATGATTGGGTTAGACTAAAACAAAATCTGAACCTGATAATAAAATCTAAACTAAATTGAACTATATTTTTAACAAAATTCAACTCAACTAAAACTAAATTTAGTAGAAATCAGACCAGTTCAGAGTTATTCAAAAAAAAGGTTTAATTAAACTTAAAATAGTGAACAAGGTCAGTTGACTACACTGTTGCCATTTTAGTCAATTACACAGTATTTCAGTTATTACAGTTATTACTTTTTAAACACGACAAAATGAATGAAAAGCTTTTAGCATTTCTTCAATTTTAATTATATATTTTTACCACAATGTGGCACTGCCTGGGAACTTTTTTGTACTTTCAATGTTCAAGAAATCTAGCATTTTACTAGAAAAATCCAGAACACTGTATACTGCACTATATTTAAAAAGAAACAAGTTATAATTAGGGCCAGACAGAATCAGCAGACATTTTTGGACAGACTTTTCTGCACTGACTTTTGTAAAAACTAATAATAATAATAATAATAATAATAAAATGAATCCTAAAATCATTTTAGGAGTACCATAACTAAAAAGTTTATATATGAAATAAAAAATAATGAGTTTTTAACTTTTATTTAATGTTTACAAGGCAAATGTAATTAGATCCGCTTATTTGGTAAACAAAGCAAGTCTCTCATATAACATCTAAAAGACAGAAAATATTACTTTACAAATTATTGTAAATAAATCAGAAGAACATTTTGATATTATTATTATTATATCACAATAATATTAGTGGAATTAATTAAAAAATTGAATAAATATAAATTTACACAAGTAAATACATAAGACTCAATGATGGGCTAACAATCTGCGGAAATCTGCTGATTTCTGCGCGTGCAGATTCCGTGTGGGCCTAGTAATAAGCAAATGTAGCTATTTTTCCCATATCTTCTGACTAGTAGATACTAGATCAGTGCAGGTAACCATAGAGCTTGGTTGTCATAACACACAATCAAGTTGGACCAGAATTAAAGCATTCAGGAGACATAGCCTCTTGTCCAATTCAATGATCAACTTATTTAATGCTCTGCCCCAATAAAACATAATAAAATGAAAAAGATTTTTTAAAGTAAAATTTCCCTGCTTTTATAGTGTATAATGCACATTTGAAGCTCACCTACCTCAAGCCTCAAAAATTTCACTAACAAGTTCACATGTAGGGACAAGTAACAAAGGACTGTTTCAAAATATCTGATCACGATTAGGGTGCAGGTTTCACCTTGATGCTAAAGATTTTTTAAATGGCCCAGCAGAGTTGTTTTTACTTGGCCCATCAAATAATAATAATAATAATAATAATAATAATAATAATAATAATAATAATAATAATAAAATAAAAAATAATTTTAATCAGTGAATTATTAGGCCCCCTGTTTATTTCCCCCCCTGATTTTTGTTTAACGGAGAGAATTTTTTTCAACACATTTATAATAATAGTTTTAATAACTCATTTCTAATAACTTATTTATTTTATCTTTGCCATGATGACAGTGAATAATATTTGAGACATTTAAGGGCTTAACTAGGTTAATTAGGTTAACAAGGCAGAACAGGGTAATTAGGCAAGTCATTGTATAACGATGGTTTGTTCTGTAAACTATCGAAACAAATATAGCTTAAAGGCGATAATAATTTTGACCTTAAAATGGTTTTTAAAAAATTTAAAACTGCTTTTAGTCTAGCCAAAATAAAACAAATAAGACTTTCTCCAGAAGAAAAAATATTATTAGACATACTGTGAAAATATCCTTGCTCTATTAAGCATCATTTGGGAATTATTTAAAAAATAATAAATAAAGGAGGGCTAATAATTCTGACTTCAACTGTATGTTGAATCGATTGGGCAGCTTTACATAACCAAAGGAAAATTAAGACCAGTTTAAAATGATTTAAGACAAGACAATATTTCTGTAAATTTAAGTGTTTTGTAGTTTTTTGAAATTTAAGACATTAAGACCCCACAAAAACCCTGATGAAAGTCAAGATGCATAAAAGGCCTGTATTCAAGCATTTTGTGTGGTGCTGTGCACTGAGAAATGGCTCAAACGTAGTGATAGAAATGAATGAATGGCAGCAAAGACATATTGATAGTTGAATTTGATTTATTTTGCAGAACTTCAGAATGAAACAAAATGAATATAAACCTTTGCCCAGACGGAAGAAAAATCAAAACCCAAAGCTGAAAATACTGCTCTATTGACAATTAAGTAAAGCTCTCAGATTATGCTGAGCGTGTAAATATTAGTATGATTAGTTTAATATAACACTGGCAGCGTTATGCATGCACTTACTCTTAACTGTTAAGAGGATTACAAAGTTTGTATTATGAATTAACTTCCAAATCAACAAAGCAATCAGCTTCAAATGGCTTAAAAAAATCAGCCAAAGAAAAAAAGACAAAGCAGATTGAGGCATTGGAGATTTTAAAATATGACAAAATCAATGTGGTCAGAATTGAACTCGCTTTTCAAGAACTAAGAATAAGTGTGATAAGAAGCCCTTGTGCAAATACTGCAGAGTACAAACATTCATGAATGATCACGTAGCAGCGTTGGCTAATGTGCAGATTGCAAAAAGTTCTCCTGAAAGGTAATGCAGTCTGTATTGTCCCCTTTAATGAACAACTTACAGTGCAAATGTAAAGTCATTGGATGATTGGAACAGCACAGAACAGGAGAAATGAGAATTTTGCTCGAACAAATGATTGTGTAGGCTTCTGTAATCTCATATGCATATAAAGCCAGTGCATTTCCATTTTGTGTTTCTCTCCCCTCTCAATAACAACACACCTGGATAGTAGAGTTATAACTGTGAACACTCAAAGAGCAGACACAGGACAATCATATTTCAGAGATCAGCTCAAATTGAAAGCTGATATGAAAGAGAGAGAGAGAGAGAGAGAGAGAGAGAGAGAGAGAGAGAGGAAGATATATAGACACATATACACACACACACACACAACATTAGAGTTCCCTTTTAAATGGTGGAAGGAATTGTTTTTGATCAGTTAGTCATACACACACACACACACACACACACACACACACACACACACACACACACACACACACACACACACACACACACACACACACACACACACACACACACACACACACACACACACACACACACACACACACACACACACATAGACAAGCTCACTACAAAGAGCACGATACAAGCTGTACCTGATGTTTACTACAGTACGTTAATATTCTATTTCTAATATTGGGGAAGTCCCAGTATATGAAGTACACATGCACCGCATGGCACAAGAGCAAACAGCTGTGTGTATTGTTGGCACGGCCCAGATTGTCCACACATTTAAACAGTTTAACTACTTCCATGGGTAAACTCTTTTGGTGTAAATCAATGATGGTCAAATCATTTGGGTGTGTGGGAGAAGCAGCATACAAATCTCCTTAAAGGGACAGTTCACCCAGAAATGGAACACCTTCATTTTCTCGCCATCATGTCATTGCAAACCTGTATTGACCTCTTTTTGTTCTTTTGTAAAACACATATGCACGCACACAAAACAACAACCACACAAAAAAACAAGAAAAACAAAAACAAAATTGTAATGACTTTCATCTGCACAATGTAAAAAAAAATGTTTGGAAAAAAAATAAATAAATAAAATAGAAAAAAATGTATAAATAATAATAATAATAATAATAATAATAATAATAATAATTTTAACAAACAATAATAATTCTAACAATAATAATATATAAAAAAAACAATAATCATAATATAATATTTAAAAAACAAAAACAATAATAATTATAATAATAAAATACATTTTCAAAAATAGAGTGTTTCGCAGTATTCTTAAAGGTTTGGAGTAGCAAGCAAGCATGTACAGGACAGAATTTCCAGATCCGGGTGAACTATCCCATAAACAGTTTATACCTCCATGTGTCATTTTTAAAAACACCAGGCTAAGTGCAAAGATATGTGAAAGTGCTTACTGCGGACAGAGCTGGGATATGCCAAGGTTAACCTCACTTGCAGTTGCAGAGCAGGTTTTTAGTGATAAGAATTCTGCGTAAAACTTCCTTTGTACGCAGCTTTTACAGTGTGCAGAGATCACCGAAAGCAGACAGACACCCAAAGTGCTATTACCAATCCATAAAGAGAACCAAAAACCTGCTCTGCAAAAAAACGCTGCCAAAAGCAACCTAGCAATCTGGGTCAGAGAGCAGGTTTGGGGAAAGAGGTTTGACAGTGGGGCTAGGTTTAGTGGGGACTAAATGGGGTCATGCAGTGGGGGCGCCAGAGAGCTTGTCTGGAGACTGTGATGGGGCAGTTTCATCCTGTCCCTCTTCGGTGCTGAGGGGTTCAGTGGCCGGGGATGGTGGGGGCGAGGAAGGTTCCTCCTGGGGGGCGGTCCGTGTCGTGGCACCTGTCCCGCAGGACATTCGGTAAGCGGAGAGAGCCTGCTCCAGCACTTGGCGGTATTCGCCTCGGTGACTGACCCGGAACTGTCGTAGCGCCTCCAGCAGGTGAGCGGCGGCAGAGCTGCCCTCTTCTTCCTCCTCACCGCCGACTGCTCCTCCCTGGCTGTCCTGGTGCAAGACGCCAGTGTCAGTGGACAGAGCAGGTTAAGAGACCCTGCTTAGAGCAGGCCACCTGCCCATGACCTTACACTGCCCTTTCATTATGAAAGCAGCACGCTTGAGGAGCGGCAATATAAGCTGCGTGTCGTGGCGAATGCGTGTTCGTCTGTGTGTGTGCACACGCGCGAGTGTTCAAATGATGCGGGAGCCTGGGTCTCTTCTCACAAGACTTTGAGAAATCAACTCATTATCAAGATGCGGACATACAAATACAAACCATTACAGAGTAGCACAAGCACAGACGGACAAACAAAGCCAAGGCCTGCACAAAGACAGCCTTGCATTTACAAGTGAAATGCAGAGGCACTGCTCTTAAAGAGAGTGGGTTTTGGATCTTTAATTTGGCCTATATATAAAAAGCTGTCTCTGAGTACCAGTTACACTTCCGTAAGTAGGACATTTGCTAATCACTTGCTAAATGTATCACCATCAAATGATCAGGGGAGTTAATGTATGCATCAAAGAGATCACGCCAAATAGAGCTACGCTGCATCTAAATATTTGCAGGCATTAAACATTAGAAGCATTTTAAGATGAGTAAGTGGAAGACTCAAGTGACTTTTGCTTTTATCGCTCATATGATCAAACCAATAGAAAACACTCACCCCATCTTCTTCTCTGTGTGGGTTTAGCCTGTTGTAAACGGCCTCAATTACACTACGTCTGAAAAAAAAGAGAAGACAGAAAATTGTAAAAAGTAGACACTGGTGAAAATATGAAATAATAAGCTAGAAGATGCCATGGTGTACAGTGAGTTTAAAGCAGCTTATAGCTGTTATAATGTCATTGTAAATATGGCTTTATGGGGCTTATTGCCTTCACAAAACGATTAATCTATATACGTAGCAAATAAAAACAAAGCAAACAAAACATTTTCATTACAGCAGTTTAGAACTCAGTTCAACCAATCAGAATAAAGGAGCAGAACTACTTATTTAATATAAGATCATTTGATTTGTTGAAATTTAGCGTAAACCACACATTATTTACACAAAGGAGGAACATTTAAAACATTTAGTGCAATATTTTTAGCTCTGTTATAACATCTTAACATTCTTTTTAATCAACATTTATATTCTGATGTTTCACATATACAGTGCTTCCCACACACAGACTTAGGCGGGCCGCCCAGGTATATTTGGCGATGACACATGAATAGCACTTTTATTATCATCCATTTAACACTTGTTGTATCCGCCCAAGAAAGCCAAACAATCACGATTAATTAACCAGAGGAAAATCTTCTCTCGCTGTCCATGTTACCTACTGCTTGTTCTGCGTGCATGAGAACTGTCAACAGAGATGTGCCTTTTGCGCCAAAAAACATCAGGTCGTAGTTTCTTCTAAAATGTCTGGAATTCAGGTTTTACTTTTGCCGTAATTTGTATGTTTTTGCTTTACCTTTTCTCAGCTGACTGCGGGCGCACAACCACGAGAGAAACATTAAATGATTATGTAATAAACAACTCCAATAAATTTTACTATATATTCGAAGAAAACAAAATCACATCTATACTGGCAAAATATTTGTACACCATTAGAAACGGTTAAACTAATCTGCCTCATTTAAATAATCTATACTTTTTATTTAATATTAATATAAATTTGAGCAATATTGTCTATTTTTATTTCTTTTTTTCTGTTATTTACTTTTCATTTGCTGTATAATTTATTAAATTAATGTTGTTAATATATTACATAATTTATACATACCGAAAATGCTTTGGCACTACTGTACAAAATGTCATGCCAACTTAAAGGGTCAAGAAACACCAAAACACAATTTTTTATTATTTTTTTTTTTTTAGTTGCCAGGCATATGTGTGTCCCTCACTGCTATAAACACTATTAGGTCACATATATTTTACAAAAGTGAAAACATTACATTTACATTTTGTCATTTAGCAGACGCTTTTATCCAAAGCGACTTACAAATGAGGACAAGGAAGCAATTTACACAACTAAGAGCAACAATGAATTAGTGCTATAGGCAAGTTTCAGGTCTGTAAAGTCTAAGAAGGAAAGTATTAGTACTTTTTTTTTTGGGTACAGTTAGTGTGATATTCAGAGAGGCAATTGCAGATTACTTAGTCTCCACTTCACTTCCTAGTTGAGTTTTTAGTCGTTTCTTGAAAATAGCGAGTGACTCTGCTGTTCTGATGCAGTTAGGGAGTTCATTCCACCAACTGGGCAGATTGAGCGTGAGCGTGAGCGAAAGTGATTTCTTCCCTCTTTGTGATGGAACCACGAGGCGACGTTCATTCACAGAACGCAACGTTCATTCACAGAACGCACTGGTTATTAAAAACTGGTTATTATAAAACTGGTTATTTTTGTGTTATTTTGAGCAAATTTGTTCTTCCGGTTTGAAACTAATTTTTGAAGCAGCGCCACGGGAATTAGATACTTGTGTGTATTCCAGCGTGGAGACTGGATGTCTGTACCGGCGAGTACATCATGACGTCTTTGAGTGTGCAGCAGCATTAATTCATGAGTAAGACTTGGCTCAAACCAATCAGCGCACTCTATTGTGTATGCGGTGCAACTTCATTAATATGCATGATAGCTTTTACCCGTTACAGTGTTCAGACGGCAGAGAGACACCACGTTGTGTTGCCAAAACAAGTGGAAGAATATGAATTTGGAGACACGGGTTGTCAGCATTGCGTTTATCAAAGTGCTGCATTGAAAGTTTTGTTTTCATTTCCCCACTATGAGAGCGCAGTTAGACTCACGTGTGGATTACAGTGTATGCGACAGAAATATGTTTGTGAAGAACATTTTTTACACGAGAGCTTTTCAAATATGGAAATGATGAAATTGGGATTTGCTGCTCGTCTCCTTTTTAAAAAAGACACGGCTCCAGTTAGTGTTGATTGTCCTGTCGCTACACATTTGGGGTGTGTGATCAGTGCCCTTTGTTTGTTCATTCAGATGGCAAAGTTAGTTCATATCGTCAGCAGTACTCTTTCAGTTTTTAAAGACATACCTTAGTCAAAATGATTTAGTTACTAAGTTTACAGAGCGTTAATATCACTGCAATATAACAGTACAATATAGAAAGATCCGCTGTAAATGCTGCTCTACGAATGTAAACATGTAAACACCTTAATCAAACTATTGCCATTGTATAGGATTTTCGCCAAATTTTGTGACAGAATAGTCTATACACACATGGCTTTGAACAATATGTTACCTACTGAGTGCATCTTAGTTACTAAGAAATGCGGAGGGTTTTTTTTTTCCTTCTCCCATTTGCCATGCGATATCAGACATTCCATTAAAACTACACTCTCCAGCAGTTCATCCTCGCATCCACTATCTCATTTGTCACAGAGAACATGCAGGAAATGTTCCTGAATGAAAGTGAAAGTGCACAACTGCAGTTAAAGTCGACAAATTAAGAATTTGGCAAATAATTTGATTACTAGTGTCCATGTAAACACAGTCACTGTCTTTCTCTCCTGCGTCTGTGTGTTGTTTTGCCTCTGTGAAAATCAGCATGTGCTCAAAAGGAAACTCCCATTTTTATGCAAAATCTTCCCTCTTTCACTCTCCTGACACTCCCACCTAAACAGAGCTGGACACGCCCACTTTCCAGGCTTTTTCCAAACTTGAGGTGTGAAAACACCCTGCTGAGACAGGGGGGTTTCGTGACCCTTTAAGAGAGAGAGAGCAGCCTTTACCTGTTAGTGGGTGCTCATGGCATAAAGGTAAGAGAAATAGTGGATTTCTTTTATTTCAACAACCTTTTAAAATTACTTTAACCCATTGAAAAGAAAATGTGTATAACAGTGTTATAATAAATAAAAAGTAAAAAATCACATTATTCTTTTGTTTGTCGCATGTAGTTGACCATATATATGCTTTAGGTTAAAGATGTGTTTCAATCTGGCTACCATTGCAAGTATATTTCAAACTGTGTTAACCACTGTATATAAATAATATTACCTACCATTTTTTGCATATTATATGTAATATAATGAAGTAATGAACAAAGCACTGTATAATAAATATATTTATTGTTTTTGAAGTTTACATCTTCTTGACTAAATTAAAACAACTAATCTAAGCATAAAAATAAAGGAAATGGGCGGACAGAACAACATTCAATCTGAAATCACTATATTTTGAATATGAATATACAGGATAAATCAATATAAAATCAATAGCAATATCATTTGCCATTATAATAAGGTAAATAATAGTTTGGAATAATTCTACAATAAAACAATATATCTTTTATTGAAAAGATAAACTAGACCAAATTATATAATAGAATTGTCAGGTGCGTTGCAACTCCAAAGTCAAGATTAAGGTAACTGCATGTGAAATGGAGGACAACAAGCCCAAATGTTACTTAATTTTGCATCCCTACTTGCTAGGTAGACCACCTCCTGGTGGCAGGTTGGGGATGGTTTCAGGATGAAGGTTGTGCATGATGTGGCTTAGATCTGGGATGCCTTCCTCCCCTGACTTCTCCATTAGTTCTGCAAAGAAAGAAAATTACATTACACATGTGAAGCAACAAACTGCTAATGGAGGCCTGGAGTGTTTCCTCCACCATAACTGCAGCAGTGAAACCTTAGAACAGTGTAGACACAACCACTTATAGACACACTGTGAGAAAAATAACATCCATCTGGAGAAAGAACGCCAAACAGGGTTATCACAGCTGTCCCGACTACACATTTAATAGAATACACTGGATGCGTCTTTTTCAGCAATAATATATTCCCCATCCAGGAAATATCCAACAAGCCTCCAGATAGTGCCGAGCATGCCAGAATGTTGAAAGAGAAGAACCAGAGGGAGACGAAGAGGACTGTAATCTAAACAGTACTTGGAGAAAGAGCATTTTCAAACCGCATGGCTGACACTAAAGTCTGATTTAAAGATTTTTAAGAAAACACTGAATGCCGAAAATGGTCTTATAATTGAACAAGTGCTGCTTCTCACCTTCAACACGGGCCTCCAGGAACTTATCCAACTCTGCCTCTTTCTTAACAGCCTCCTCTGATACCTTCGGTGCATTAGGGAAACATACTAGAACAACACTCATGTTGTCACGGCTTCCCTGGTTGGAAAAAAAAAAAGATGATCCATGACACACACAAAAAAGGCAGTTCACTTGACCAAAATCCTACTTGTCAAGTGAGTGTTTATAACACCTAAAGCTTCTATTGTAAACCACTATAAATCTACACTGCCTCCAATTTTGCCAATATTTACGCCGGATGGAAATCTGTGACATCTATTCATAGTTAGACACTAAACAGACCTTCGCAGAGAATCCTCTTCCAAGTGGAAGAAGTGGAAAAGGCTTAGTTTCCAATGTATATATGAGCCATACATCATGAAAAGGCAAGAAGCAGGTTACAGACTAATAATGGAAAGCCCTGACATCAGCTTGAGCAAATCCATGCCAGATTCAAAAGCTGTGACCTCATTCACTCGCACACTGGCTCTTGTCTGATCATCTGGAGGGCTGGTGACAACACAGACAAGCGATTTTTATTTTTTTTTTATTTTGGAGAATATTAATAGTGTTTTTTTGTGTGGAAAACGGGGAGAAGGGGAGTGATTTAAAAATGTGAATCATAATTTACACACAACAGGACTGTCTAAAGAGACTAGGACTTTAACAATTGCATAAACTCCATGATTCAGCTTCATATGGCTGTGCAACTAATGTAAAACAGAAAAAGAGAGACTTAGTAGGTATGTAGGGCAAAACTAAAATTTAAAGAAAAGTCATCATTTATTAAGTGTTTTAATGCACAAAGCAAACACAGTGATGCCTCAAAGCTCTAGCTTTCTCCTGGTATTAATATTAATTTTTAGTGCTCAATAGACACGCATTACAGCATCTGGTCATGACTAGGGCCAGACAGAATCTGCGGACATTTTTTGCTACTTCTGAGGAGAACTTTGTAAAAAAATCTGCGGATTTATGCAGAATGATTTAAGGAGTATCAAAAATTTAAAAACTTAATATATGAAATAATAATACATTTTTAAATTTCATATAATGTTTTCAATCCAAATTCAATTAGATCCACTTATTTGATAAACAAAGCAAGTCTCTCATTTAAAATATTTACTAATAGACAGAAAATATTACTTTACAAATTGTATTGTAAATAAATCATATGGACATTTTAATATTAATATTATTATATCACAAAAAATTAGTAAAATGAAAATTAAAAACTCAATGAATATAAATTTACACACATTTACACAGGTAAATAAATAGACTCGATGGGCTAAAAATCTGCGAAAATCTGTGGATTTCTGCATGCACAAACTGCGTGTGGGCCTAGTCATGACCATTTGGTTACTCTTTGCTTTTATTTTGGATATGCTACATCCCGTTATAAACTCATCTGTGTTTTGTAACTTTATGAAAACTGTCATTTTAAATTAGTAGTTTCATAAAAATTTTTTTAAAAACCCAAGTATTATTATGGCACAAATAGGGCTGGGCGGTATATCAGGTTCTGGGGATATATCGATATGATTCCCCAAAAGGATGCTGTATTAGCCAATATCGTTCATATCGATATGGTTTGAGGCCACACGTGTGCATTTTGCGTGAAACAGACCACTCCAAGACAGCACGCAAGCTCTACTTACACAAATGTGCACATGTGCAAATAAATGATTTACTCCTTGAGTCATACAAAAGATTTGTTCAAAATGTACGAATCGTTCAAGAACGACCCATCACTGACGGAGAAACATGCAGTGCCAGTGTTGTATCGAAATCTGCCTCCCCGGACAAATCTGACTCCCCCTCACGTGCATGCACAAACACACAGCGCCTTAAGCGGTCACAGAGGTTTATTAGAAACCTTTTATCAATCGTTTTTTCCACAATTGACAGCAAGAACGAACGTAGAAACAAATTGACAAGCAGCACCTAAAGGTTCAAAAGAATTAAAAACGCCAAAATAGAACGAATTTATACCGCATTTCGAAAGTGAAAGTTTTTTTTTTTTTACATTTACATTATAACACATTTATCTCTGCGTTCTGGTCTGTTATTATGACTCTTTAAATTCATAAGCTTAACCAGCATTTCATCACAGTACTCTGAAACTATTTCGTTAATTCTTATATTTATAGTCTATTTGTTTTCATCTCCTTATTTGATATTTAGTAAAACAAGTTTAGTCAAAACAAAAGAAAGCGTAGTAGGGATGCCACGGTTCTCAATATAATATTGAACCGTACGGTACGACTTCTACGGTTCAAAGCACGCTTGTGAACTGCGGTTTTCTCAGTTTTGCTTTTAAATAATTTGTGCGTATTATGTCTCCCCAAATTGACTGTGATTGCCTGTAAGTCCATGAGCTGAGATGAGGAAACTCCTCCGCGTGAGTAAATATCCAATCAATATGCTCTAAAGTTAGGGGGAGCTTGACCATCATTCCACACTTTAACATGGCGAGCGGCAGTGAAGTGAGGTTGAGGCAACAGTACAAAGAAGCGCCTGTAAAGTGAAGCAACAGTACGAGAAAGCGCCGGCGTCTTTCAAATTGTGAGGACATTCCGATTTTGCCGGTAAGTATAATGCCATTAAAAGAAAAAAACGGTAAACAAAAAAATAACTGTGCAAGCACTGTTTTACACGTATAACCATGACTGCACATCTGTAGCGCCATCACCCAGCAATATCACTGTCTGAAGGCAGAATAGCAGAGAAGGTAATAAAAGTCCTCCAAATAGTAACAATCCCTCGCTGAATATTTCAAGCAAACATACCCAACTGGTTCAGAGACACATAAAAATAACAAAGGCAGTGCGGGTGTTTATTGCTAAAGATTTGCAGCTGTTTTCGGTAATTGGAGACATGGGCTTTTATAAAAGCACTCGATCTGCGTTACAATCTCGATCCGCAAGTACAAATATGTTTATTTGAAATGGCCAATTCATCTTTATTAACTTCACATGTATGTTTATTTTCAAAGTGCAGGATGTTATGTGTTCCCCAGTTCAAATCGAACACAGTGTTAAAAAACTGAGGTATGTATTGAATCGTGGGCTAACTGTATTGTTGCATCCCTAAACTGTAGGATTTCTACATGGAGTGAAAGACTTATCTTTAGTTAGTTATGTGCATTGCTTAATAATTGTGCACAATACATAAATGTAAATGTGTAACTAAAAAAAAACATATACAGCTGATTTAATTGTCGTTTATAAATCACACAACTTTGGTATACAGGATTACTTATAACAACACTGTAATTGTGACAAAATGTGTGTTTCATATTTACATTCAATGTGGTCCTTTTCTATCCTACAATACTTTTTGTTGTGTTACTATCTAGCTCATACTATTTTTACTTTTTGTGCTCAGATAATGTAGCTATGTTTTCTATGGTTCTGTTTACTTTGTTATTTACACAACAGCACAGTAGTGCTGTGTATAGTGATAAGCTTTTCACTTATTTTTAAGACCAAAATGGATGGATTGTTTTTTTTTTTCTTATTTTGTGCAAAAAATAACACTTTAAAATATATGGTGTTTTCATAGGATTTGTCTAAACTAGGGGTGTTTTGAAATTAATGAATCCATAGTTGTGAAACTGTGATTATTCATCAGACTACAATTGTACAGTCAAAATCTATAGTCGTTGCATCCCTATTGATCACAAAAGTAGATACGTTTAAGAATGTTGTTAACAGGTATTTATTGATTTCCATAATTAGGAATTAACACTATGAAAGTCAATGCTTGATCAAAATATCAATGTTTTTTTTTTTTTTGCTTTCAAAAGAAGAAAAACTCGAGTAAATCTAAAAAAAAAGAGAAAAGGGTGAGTAATTATTCAAAGCCTTAACTTTTTTTACTGAAATATCCTTTAAGACATGTGATGCGATTTCCTCACCTTATGTAAACAGGTGTCAACCACAGAGTTGCAGACTTTCTCCAAGTCATCCCACACCTCCAGGCGAGAGCGCACAAAATCACACAGCTCCTCATTGCTCATCACGTCCCAGATGCCATCGCAGGCGAGCACCACAAACTCATCCTCGTCTGAAACGCGTGGGACTTCGAACACCTCCGGTTCCGGAGATACCAGCTGCTCAGTTGGGCCCTTTCCGTCCACACACTTGTAGTCATAATCCCCTAAAGCGCGCGACACAGCCAGAGAACCATTCACCCTTTGGATCATCACAGAACCGCCTGCGTTCTGAATGCGCTCTTTTTCACGTGGGTTGCACGGTTTGTGGTCTTGTGTGGAGAACCGCACTTGTCCTGCGCGGCTCAGCACAGCACGGGAGTCACCGCAGTTGATGAAATAGAGGTGCTCGGGAGACACCAGCACACCGACTGCTGTGGAACCACTACGGTCCATACCGTTACGTAGGTCTGAGAAGTTGCGCATGTACTCATCGATCTTCAGAAAGCCTGAGCGAATGCCGATTTTAACGCCTTCCACCGAGTCAGGGCCTGAGCGGAAGTCCTCGCTGCTGGTAATAATGTGCTCCAGTAAGTGTTTGGAACAATAGTTGGCCACACGAGAACCTGCGTGACCGTCGTACACCGCAAAGAAAGACCAGTCATCCAGGCCATGCGGCAGACCAACCACAGCTGTATGTGCGTCCTCCATTTCGACCCGCCATCCCTGCATGCTACTTAGGCCGAAGTTGAGACCATTTCCTGCCCCGTGTGCATTATGTTTCTCTGTCTTCGGTTTGTCCAAGAAGGCCCCCATGGCTCAGGACACCGTCTGCAAGAAAAAGAGCAATTGCTTTATCTGACAAAACGTAGCGTGTGTGTCCAACATTACAACAGAATAAATAAAGTGCATTTGGCATTACTGTTTAATTGCATTCTCAGGCCATTTATTCCACAAAATGCAGGGCCCGAAATTGCGATCGTTTTGGTTGCATATGTGCCCGAAATTTAAGCTGTGTATAGCATAATATATTTGGGAGCATATGTACAACTGCATATAATGGTTGTAGTGTGACTCGTTTTGATTTTAAACGTACTGAATCGCTCTTCCATGCCACCATGTTGGTTCATATTAGCTGTCAACCACTCAAGACTTTCAGCTGTGAGATGACAGGGAGCTTTTGTGACCGCAGGAAATGCAAACGGCTGAAAAGTAGTATAAAGTATAAAGGTTTGCAAACCCCACCTAAAGTTACAAAATATGGCAGCAATTGAGAGTGATCATGACATGTGGTAAACATTGATCTGCCAGCCGGAATCAATCAAGTGTTTTCAGAGAAGGTGCACGAATCTCGATGCGTAGCATTTACTGCATGTTCAACGCAAATGTCCACTAAATGTAAACTCTAACAATGTATCCATCATCACCAAAGAAGCTCGCCTTTACTAAATTTACACTGATTCGGCTTATAACAAAGAACAGTACTGCGCCGGGGGTCTTTGCCTTCCTCATATGCTGGATCAGCTGACTCGCCTGCTTTTTTCTACAAACACAGAAAAATGTAAATCAGCGCATAAAGAGACTGAGCATTTAAAAATGACAGAAATTGAAACCAAAACTTTTAAAGAGTGGTAGAAGTGAGACTTTTCTTACTTTCTTTTGTCTAATTTTTCTTGAGATGTATATTATTTTCATATTTAATTACTGATGACTGCTTTGTAGCTTTGAGTATTGCATTGAATGATTAATTTAATATTTTGTTTGTTTAGTAGCAGAAATATTATTTAATAAATTGACATGCATTTAAAAACTATAGTACAAAATAAATATTTCTTACTGCAATGTTTCATTTTTGTTTGATGCAAACCATAAATTAGTTTTTTTTTATAAACAGTAGGAGTTTTTAATAGCACATAACTCGCATAGGCTTGCCACGATAGACGGTGTTGACGGTGATACCGCTTTTAAGACGCAACACCGGTGACATCACTTTTTCACCGTGACACCGTCTAAACATTTTTTTTTAAGTATTCGTTTTTTTTTTATTTAAATTTTTATTTTATTTAAATGGGAAACATAATTCTAAATAATTTACTTAAGACGAGAGCATGCACTATAATTATCATCTGAACATAGCTACAATGCGTCATATTTCATTTATCACATCAAGATAACGAGAGGAGTCAAATTTACAGAAAGAGAATGGCGGATGGATAAGTGTCAAAACGCAATGCAAAAGCGCCTGTTTGGCTATATTTTGGGTTTAAACCAAATGCAAAAAGAGAACCTGAAGACGTTAATGAGGCAATCTGCAAACTTTGCCTGACAAAGGTGGCAGCAGTTGGAGGAAACAACTAATTTATACCCTCATTTTTAACACTTGATGTTCAACTATGTGTTGGTCGCGGGTAGATAAGATCAATAGCCATAAATACGCAACGCATAATCTCATTTTAAAAATTACGCGGCCACCATCTCACAATGTTTAATAATGAATTATCCTTTTTTTATTTATTAAAACAAGAGTGATTTAGCAATGCCGCGCCATTAATAAGCCAACTGCAGAGAAACAAATCAACTCGCGCCAACAGCCGTGAGCACTTTTTCCGAAGTTCAGCTGTTCTTTTTTGCAATTGATTATTATGCATTTAATGTAAAAAAAAAAAAAATCATTAAAGAATAGGCCGACAAGAGTGTAGGCTAACCTGTGTGCGCGCGCGGTTTTTAATCTCTGAGGACGCTCTCTTCAAAAACCGAAAGTTGCTTCGTTTCTCTACCAATATTTCTGCTTTTAATAAATGAAAAGTTCATTTAGATGAGCCAATATTAAAAATTGCAATAAAGTAACTGAGACTTGCGGCCACACATCGAATCTGAGGTCTGATCTCATCTCTCTCTCGCTGTCATCCAGACACAGACGCCTAACGCAAAACTGAGGCTGGTACCAGCTGACAGGTAGAATAGCTGAAGCCTTTGCGAAATCTGTCAGAATACAGCACTGAAATAAACAGGCATAAATGTCTTTGAGCCAGAAAGTCTATCTAGGATATCTGTCAAAACACAATTGGAGCCGTTGAGGAGTTGTGTAGCCTTTAAATGATATTATTTCTAATAAAATGAAAACCAAAATAAACTATTCATTGCATTTTTCGTTTGATAAAAATATTTGTAAACGAAAAAAATAAATCAAAGGGTGGCTAGTTTGTTGTAATGTGTTTTTTCATATTAATAAAAATATGCTGCCTTAAGTTTAACGGTTAGCCTATACGCCGTCAATAGGCAAACCATTTAAAAAATAGTATTTTACTGTGTACTTGGTTATAATCTATATTTTACAATAAAAACTAAACGTAGCCTGTCTCACTGTCATTTAAAACATGTAATTCATAACACACCAGAGCTGTGGACCTACAGTATGCAGTGTGTTAACTTACAGGGCGGTGTTGGTCCATCTTAGTGCGCACCGAACTCCAATCCAAGGGAGATTGTTACTCGATAGACAACATTAACTCGAGAAATTTTAAAAATAAAAGGTATAAAAGGCAGTAATTCAAGGTTTGCCAGGCAACATTACAACTTTTCTATTTTACACAAAACAAGAAACCAGTAAGCGTAGAAACATTTTCTTTCCAGCTATGTCAAAAGCCTCTTTCACACGTACAGACCTTTGCCATTAATTTTCTAGAAAGGGATCATATGTGAACAGGCACTTTTTACTACTGGGAAAGTCGTTCTGGCAATTTTCCGGAAAGAGAAGCTGTAACATTACTGGTAATTTGCCGTAATGCTGTTCTGCTCTGTGTGAACGCAGAAGAAAAATTGCCGGAAAGACTGTGTTCATGTTTAGAACGTGCTGATGTGAGAGGACTCCAGCCAATCAGAACATTCAGACGCATTCAAATCCACCGTTTATGAAAATAAAAGCCTTTGAATATTTTTCCAGACACATTTGCCTTTAAGTAGCTTGATGTGTGTGCATGTAAAGCAATCCTCCAGTGAGCGTCAGCACGAACACATATTAAATAATGTCTACTTGTTTCCAACATCCTACAAAAGCCTCTCACACAATGATACCGGCAAATATCCGGAAAATTTCCAAAACGACTTTACCGGTATGATAAAAAAAGCACTGTTCACAAAGGTAAGGACATTCCAGAATTTTTTCGGAAAAGACCATTTCACACATCCATTTCAAAATTCCGGTAAATTCTGTAATCATTAACCAGAAATGAGCTGTAAACGGTTGCGCCTGTATTTACGTATTTTGTTGTACGTGGTTGATGGTTTCACTTTCATTTAAAGCTTTAGCACCTGCTTTGTCCCAGACACATCCAAAGGCAGAAGCATGATCCGCAGATAAATGTTTACACACTTGATTACATTACAAATTCTGTGGATGGATAAGTATTGTGTTCAACTTCGATTAAAACATAAGGAGGAACACTTTTGCATGTTGAGATGTTTGTGTGTGTGTGTTGGCGCTCACAGGAGCACGCGTCAAGCAACTGAAGCAGAGCTTGAAGGTAAACAAACAGCTGTTTATCATAAGAATTTTATCAATAATAATTTTTTACACCGTTGGCATTAAGAATGAACATAGAAAGTTATCTGACTAACATCTAGCAGCTGAACGTGTCAGGAAAACATTCAAAGGTTTTTTTTATTTTCATAATCAGCGGATGTGAATGGCGAAGCAGTGGCGCAGTAGGTAGTGCTGTCACCTCACAGCAAGAAGGTTGCTCGGTCGCTGGTTCGAACCTCGGCTCAGTTGGCATTTCTGTGAGGAGTTTGCATGTTCTCCCTGCATTTGCATGGGTTTCCTCCAGGTGCTCCGGTTTCCCCCACAGTCCAAAGACATGCTGAAGGTGCATTGGGTAGGCTAAATTGTCCGTAGTGTATGAGGTGTGACAGGCATACGTAGTGAGAGTGTATGAGGGTGACAGGCCCAAACGACAGACCGGCCAGAATGTGTAAAAAAGTCGTTATCATATGGACAAGTCTAAATAGAAGACTTGTTCTAAAGAGCTGACCTTGCAACCATTCGGGACTAAGGCCAAAGAAGAAGAAGAAGAAGAATCAGCGGATGTGAATGCGTCTGAATGTTCTGATTGGCTGGAGTAGAAGTCTCATGTCAGTGCGTTCTAAACATGAACGCATTCTTTTCAGCAATTTTCCTTCTTCATTCACAAACATAAAAGCTCGGAACCACTTCATTTACAAAGAGTAAATGTAAATTTAAAAATAATAATGCAATAAACATAATTTTTGGGTGAACTAAACATTTCAGAAAGATTTTACATCATCCTTAAAACATTTGTGCAACCAAATATTTTTATAAACCCAGGATTCTCTAACCGAAAAAAAATGTTTAAAGCAAGCATTTCTATGTTAAAATTGGCTTCTGGACAAACAGATAACACAAATGGGGTGTGTCTGGTTGGTAACTTAAGCTCCTGCATCACCTTTCATCTCCAGTGTCATTTCCACAATGAGCCGGGTTTGACAACATTTTTAAAAAATAAAAATACACCATAAACAGGCTTTAGCTAGCTTTACCTCATTTTCAATAAAAGCATGCACTTAAAAATCAAGTACAAATGTGTAACAAACTATTGACCTACGCATGCAAAACACCCTTTAAAAGAAGCTTTAGAAGACCTTACAAAGCCAGAGGAAAAAATGTTTTATTGATCACTACTAAGACAGAAGGCAAAATGTATTTTTCATGAGGCTGATTCCCCATCTGAATGTAGGATTAGAAAGTGTAGAGCAGCTTTAAGCCGCTTTGGGCAAACCTCAACCTTAAGACCATTACATGACTCCAGGAATAG